TGTCACAGCAAATTCACCCCGAGGTCAGACTGTATAATGCTCGAAAAATTGTTAAAAACAAACAAACAAAGAAACAAAAAACCCTGAAGAGCTACATGTCGGATTGAACGGGCCATAGTTAGCATGTTAAATGTTAAAGTTCGCCACAGTACAGAGGGAACAAGCGTGGCTTGTTTGGAAGGTTTTCCAGGAGAAAGTCTCCTTTCTCTAAAAAGAACATGACAGCACAGCTTAGGTTTGCAAAGTGGGATCTGATGAGACCACAAGACCACAAGAAGAATGTCCTCTCAACAGACGAGACCAAAGTGAAAATGGTTAATGCACAGCATCACATTTGGCAGAAACCAAACACAGCACATCAGCAAAAACACCTCATACCAGCTATCAAGCAGGGTGGTGGAGGGGTGATGATTTGGGTTCGTTTTACAGCCACAGGACCTGGGCACTATGGAGTCACTGAGTCGCACACAAACTCCTCTGTGTGCCACTTTCATGATTCAAATGTCAAGCCATCTGTCTGACAGCTAAATTATGCTTGAAATTGGGTCATACAGCAGAACGATGATCCAAAGCACAGCAGCAAATCGATCAAGTTGTTGGAATGACGCAGTCAAAGTCCAGACCTTAACCCGACTGATATCCTGTGGAAGGACAGCAACAGACCTACGCATAAACAAATGCATGTAAACCTCAATGAACTGAAGCAGTGTTGTAAAGACAAATTCCTCCATAACGATGTGAGAGCCCGAAAGTCATCCAGAAAACAGTTACTTCAAGTTATCGCTGCAAGAAGTGGTACTACAAGCTATTAAATCATGAAGTGCACTGTTTCTGCTTTTGGCTTAAGTTTGTGATACAGAAATAATATGAACGCACTGAGATTCATTTGAGGTTGTTGTTGGTAAGGACCAGATGATTTTCTAAAATGAAATAGGGTGTGCTTTCTTTTTATCTGGACCATATAGCTGCAAAGCCTTTCAAACAGGACTGCAGAGAGTCCTGTGGATGCGTCCTTTTTCACATGGCTGCATAAGTGCATTAAAATTCTCCCAGAAAAAAAAGATTTTATTTGATTAGAAAATGCTGCATCTAGATGCGCGCACACCTACAGCCCGGTCTCAAACCAGTGTTTTAAAATCCGATTTCAAAATTCAGCCAGCCTTGACTTTAATTATCTTCTCTGTCTCTTTGTGTTTTCCATCATATGAGCAGAAAGGGAAAGTGACACCTCTGCAGAGGACATGTAAGCGTTGGTTTTGGCTGCCACGAAAGGGAACTAGAAGGAAATGGGTAGAAATAAAGGTTAATATCAGTCAATTAACAGTATTATCAACACTCGTGCTCAGTGTTAGATGAAAATATTCAGAGCAAAAGCAGCCCTCGTATCAGTCTGACCCTCCTTTTCCAATAGAAAGAACAGAACACTTCCTGGCAGCACTCAGCAAGGCACCGGCAGCTCTGGATAACAAATAATAGAAGGTAATTCCACAGACTAAAGCCATGGGTAATAAAATCAGATGGTCTGGAAATGTACCTATGCTGAAAGGGCCCATATAAAACTATAATTAAGTTGGTCTGTTACTAGTGGTTTTTGGCTTTTTTCAGACTAAGAACTGAACCGAGTACATTCAGTGTCAGTCTGGCACCAATGCCCGCTCTGAATTTCAAGGACTTTGCTAATAAATACACCCGTTATTATGAGCCATGATCTAAATCTGTGTAATGGTAAAAGTCTTTAGATTATTATCAGGATCATTATTCATTTAAAAAACACAACACAACACAACACTGCTCTCTGGTGACAACAAGAAAACAGTGCAGGATATCCTTTCTTTATCTGGAAACACACTGAATGCATGCAGTACCGCATTTGAGCACCAGAGGAGAGTAAATACCAAGATTTAAGCTTCATGTCCTCGACTCACCTCACAAAACTAACACTAACCCGTAATTGAGACGTAAAACAGCTCGATAAAGGAAGACTCCCTCTGGCCCTGACAAATTAAGGGAATTTTCATCAGTTAAATTCCTTTTCTCTTGCAGTGATTGTGTGCCACTAAACTTCACAGACTACTCTTCAGGTTAGGTTTGCAGATGCATGAAAAAAAATGATATAGAAGAAAGGTTATAAATAGACCACAGAAGGGAGCTAAGTGAATCCTTACTTGTTGAGATGTTAATCCCTAAATCATTATTGTAGGTTGCAAATGGCTCCTCTAAAATCCTCTCAAAAGACCTTGAAGCTGGTGCAGCGAAGCCGGGTTTAGTGTTGATCGCGTTCATATTTGCCCAGGCACAAAATGACTCTGACTGTGTCTAATTTAATATAAAGACACTTAACCAGCTTCTCAAGAGGCCTTTTTTCAGTGAATTTAGTGTTAGCAGCGAACAGGGAGGTGGGGGGTGACACATCTTACCTGCCTGTAGGAGGAAGTTCTGACCTAATTATAAAGAGTCTGATTAATTAAATATGATTATGCATCTTTCTAGGTCCATGTTTTTAACTTGAGTGTAATGTAACCAGATGAGCTTTAATCAAGAGGAAATTCTTCATTCAAATATTAACAAACATCTGACAGGAGCACGTTGATGCTGTTGTTTCTTGGATAACATTCTAGTTTGCTTTTGCCCGTATAAAACATGTATTGTGTGTACATGCACATGCACATGTATTTAGGGAGTTGAATGGTTCGCAAGGCGTAACAACCTGACTACAACCGCAATTGTTGATTGTGCTCCAGATGAAACGATGTTTTGGAGAGAAGAGCTTCGTGTGGTGTTTGGGACGCCTGTAATTTAAGTGTTTGTGGACTGCCTCCTTGAGAATTCCAGAGACAGATGATAATACATTTCCTGTCAGCCTCTCTTGCCACCTGTGCCTCACTTTCACTGAAACTAAGTGTTTCTTTCAATTTGTGCTCAAGAAAGCCCCGTGAGAATGAAAGCAAAGGGGAAGCGTGTCTTTCTCTGTAGACTCACATCTTTTTTTTTTTTTATTGTTTTTATTATTGGTGTTGTTTTTTGTTTGTTTTCTCACCTTTTTAATATTTTATCATTGCCTGCAGTTTTGTATCTTAGTGTGCCCAAATTTCAGGAGTGAATCTACGCATCATATTTCATTCTCTGTCACAAACATCCACAGAGACTCCGAGGCCTTCACTATAGCCTCTTTTAGTCTGCTCTTCAGTGTAATGCTGCTCAGTCGCCCTGAGATCAGGTGACTGACTTTGGCCAGTAACCCTGAGGTCTCTGGTTTTTGATTGGTTCGTCCGGTAGTCTGTTGTCCTGTTAAATCATGAGTTGTTATTCAATACTGTTGTTTTTTTTATATTTTGGCAGATAAATTCTAAATATCTTCTTCACTTGTACAGCTCACTCATAAACCCTCAAAGTAAAAGACACCTTTTATCCATTAATCCATATCAGAGCCATATTTGTGCACGCAATAATGTTTAAAAGAATATGAAACAAAGCTCAAGATTCTCAGTCACAGCTGGAGCATCACTGAGAAACTGACCGGACACAGGCACATATCAGAGCCCGCTGGTTGCCCTATATGTCAGCTGGCAAGAATTAGACAAGTCTGTGCAAAGAGGTTAAGAGCTGAGGGAGATTTCAGACTGGGTGTAAACCATTTATCTTAAACTGAATGTGCTCAGACAGAAAGCTTAAAGAATAATAAATGTGCAAATGCATTAAAACACATGGCGTGTGCAGGGCTATCGTGTCCCATGTAGCTGCTCTTTACAGCTCTGTCCTTTCTGTCACCAAAAGCTAACACTGATTTAAAGAACCGATGGTGTACGCAGGCTGTGCAATACGTTTTCTATTAGCTCACAGATAGTAGTGATGAGCTCATTTAAAACTTAATGATACAAGTCAAAGGGTTACGACTGAAATTCATTACGCCATTAAACAACTACTGAGCTGTATCACAAGTAGAAAAATGAAAGTAATTTAAATAATAATATATGATTATATATTGCATGGTTACATTCTGAAGTGACCACTGATTTGCAGCAGTATCAGAGGGGGTGCATGAAGTTGCAGAGGGGTTTCAAACTATTTTTCACTCAGTAAATTTCACTGGAATAAAAGTGTGTTCCTTCACCTTTTATATAAATACACTATTATGCAGATTTCTCGTAGATTGCACTTTAGTAGCTTAGATTCATGATCTAATATATCTGAAGTGTATTTGATTATATGCTTCAAGGATTGTGAAGTTACCAGGAGATGGCTTCAAAATACTAACCGTTCCTTCAAATTAAAAGCACGAAAAGAGTCACACTAAGCACCGGGGTGTACAGTGAGTATCCTTTCCGCAGTTCTGGCTGGCAGTTAGATCAACTTTAGAGCATCTTCATGACCGTGAGGTCATTTTTATCTGCTCTGGCGTTTAGCTGCCTCTCAACGCCCGTGGTTTTATTTTGAAACCAGCACCAAGAGGACCAGTGTTGCTGGTGCCTTTACACTGGTCCTCCGTGTAAAAAGCTGCTGGGAGGCTGGATTAGGATGAAGATTTAAGGAGTCACATGGACTCGGTGCACTAAGTGGTGTCCAGTTGTTGTACAACGGTCAGTCACACAATTTGTTGGAAGCTGCTTTTCAGAAACCTTTTATTTTATTAAAAGTTTTTATTTTAACTTTTTTTTTTCTTCTTACACTGCGTTTCGCTCTTTTCCCTACATTTTGTGGATTTAAGAGCACAGGCACCGGTTGCTCCTTGACTTTTTTTGTTTTTGACCATGCTGCAAACTTTACACTTCTGCCATTAAAACTCGCCGTGTGATGTGAAGCTGTGAACTCCTGAAGGAAATAACTTCATATATACTCACAATGACTGAGGAAGGCAGAAGTGAGCACAGAGCTGAAAGCGGGAAGGACCTGGAGAAACAGCTGCGGTTGCGAGTGTGCGTCCTAAACGAACTTTTAAAGACTGAGCGGGACTATGTCGGGACGCTCGAGTTTCTCTCGGTGAGTGATGAGAACGGTTTTAAACAGAGAACCCTCAGAGTGCATACTTTAACGGGGAAAAACAATAAACACAAACCAGCCAGCCTGTTTAGTATGCACGGTGCATCAGCCTGCAGGGCAAGAAGTGTTGCGCGTTCTCCTGTACAAACCCTGCATGCTGCTGCGCTGTGAGCATAACATGAGCCATAAAGTTGTCTGTAATACTGTGTGACGCCATCCTACTGATGGAGACATTTACCTTTGAAAATGCAAGTGTGAAATTGGAAGAGCAGTCACAAAGAGGCATGGCACAGCTTTAGTTCCTGCACAGCCACTGTGATGTTTAATCCTTTTCGGAGTCTGCTCATGGGCTCCTCTAAGCTCACAGTGGTTAGTCTGGCCCTCATAAACCATTAGGATAAATGGCAGGTCAACCAAGACAAAGAAATAAATGTTTCCAGGACTTTTAGGTACATCATTCTATGTTGTGTACAGCTTTACCTTAAAGCTTATTTGCCATCTTCAGAGTCACTGAAGTGCAATTCATTTAGGAAACTTGTTTAAATGGCATCTGTATCTCTACTCAGTGTGTATTTTCTTTATTTTTTATTTTATTTTGTGCCCTCTACAGCATCTGTTCAGTCCAGTAATTACCCAATTTGCCACACACTTCATAAGAAGTACAGAGGAGGGCATTTTAGTCACCGGCTTTGCCAGCTTCTTATTAAATCCAGCAGGAGTGAGTTCTGCCAAAGACAGCACAGGTGGACTCAAATGCAAACCGCTGGAGTTAGCACTCAGCTGGCAGCACAACTCCAGGTTTGCACTAAAGCATAACACTTTTGGTTTCTGCACGGCAGAGTCATGGCTGTCAACTTAATGGCATTACATGAAGTGACGCCTGACTTCAAAGACAGGAGGATGTGGCGATTTTGCTGAAACCAAAAAGCTGTGAAAAGTCGTCATTGTGCACTGCTGCTTATCGAGTGTTTTAATGTGCCCAAGTGGCCGTGTAAGACGTTAATCCTGGCGGTGAACACTTTAATGCAATGCCCTGTGCCCTTTTGCCTTTCACCATATTTTTGCATTCCCAGCTTGGTGGGAAATTTGCTGTGAAGAAAGGTTGAGGGGGCACTTTGTGGTCTGCAGTTTCCCAGACCACATGTATGAATGTGTACATCCCGACCCCTCCATCACCACCGCCGCCACTGCCCAGATGTTTCCAATGGAGGACAGAGGAGCCAGAGAGGAGATGGAGCCTTTTCTTAGAAGTGGCACATCAGTGGAGAAATTGAGGAGGTGATTACATGAGGGGAATGTGTCCTCAGTCCTGGAGATGGGGGGTTGGGGAATGTAGCCTCCCCCTTCCCCTTCTTTATCTCCCCTGTAGTGCTGGAACTGGGATTGATTTCAGAGGTGACTGATCCCTACAAGGGCTTTCTGTTCTGGCAGGGAATGCCATGCTGGAAGCATCAGACTGGAGTCTTAATAGTGAGTTAAGTTGGTTTAGTGGAGTGATAATGATTAAAAAGATAGGAGGAGAATAAGAAGAAGACAAAGATCCGCTCTTATCAGCGGTTTTATCTTCTGGGAGATCCTGGAGGGCATCGTCAGAAACGCTCAGGATGATCAAAGACAGCCCTCGTGTGGAGAAAGGGTCACATTGAAGACTTTCATCCGATCACACAAACACATACTTGTCTTTTTCTTACTCCACTGCCAAGAGTCTAAGTGTCTCGAGGTCAGGTTGGAGGTGCCCAGTTTGTGCGGCATCGGAGGCCTTGAAGATGTTTACGCACGATATCGCTAAAGGGTTGAGAGGGAAAAGGGTACAGCGGATCACAGGGCAGATGTTGGCAGGAGGGTGAAGGGTAGAGGGGGGTGGTCTCTGTGAGTAACTGGGCTTGGTGCCTTCTCTTGTAAAGCATATTTCCTGGAGGAGGAATTCCTCTGAGGTTAGGAAATGCTGGAGAACAATGAGGCTCCGGTTGGTAGGCAAAGTTGAACTGAAGAGCAAAGATTGTTGCTGCCGATCTGTGGGACCTAAACACAATGCACCTCGCACATACTTCACTTTTAAGGTAGTGGAAAACAGCATGGAGAACAAGGATGATTAGAGCAGTTTGTCCCAGGATAGTATGCGCCTATTGTGTGGATCTACCCGACGTCTTGTGGGAAAATATGTAGATTATATCTTAAAGCTACTGGGAAAGTTTAAATTGGGCATTGTCCTGAATTAAAACACCACCTTTTCCTCCTAATGTACTAAACGTCCCCAGTATTCCGACAGTGAGAGGAAGGCTTCAGGGAAGCTGTCCGTAATATGTCTTTCCTATCTTATATAATGAACGATTATAGCAAGAGATAGTGGGTGGTGGTGGACAGTGGTGTTTATCTTGGACAGCTACGAGCCAATAAAATGATAGTCATTCTTAGAAAAGCCTCAATGGGAGGAACAAATCAAGGCATAATGTAAACAGCGACTCTAATGAGGTCCTTGCTTGTCTGCAGTTTTTTAGCCACACTGTCAAACAAAATACTGCCAATGTTTGCCATTGATGGAGAGACACTGAAAGCCATTTGCTTGCATGATAAGCACTTAAGAGAAGAAGCATGCAAGAAGCTACAATAGGGGAAACCTTTCATGTCCCAATTCTGGAGGGAGATCACAAGTTAACTTAATATATTCCAAAGAGCTCTGCAGTGCATTAAGTGGTCCCTTAGCTGCTGCCTTCCTTACCCAACAAAAGCCTGAGTAATATGAGTGTAATGTTTAAAACATTTTTAATCCTTTGACTAACTTGAAATTGAATAGATGTGGTTTTTAGACCTTGCAATGCTGTAGAATTCGTACCTTTGCCTTTATCTTAGATACTGTTGATCAGCAAGGGAAGAAATTCAAGAAAAACCTCATTGCATGCGCGTGCACAGGCAACATACAGGTTATTCTTGTGCTCTCTGGACTGGAGGTGCAGCAGTTGTTGGTCCGCACTTTAAATCACTTGTGTCTTCCATGTGAATACGCCTGCAGGAAGTTAGAAATGAAGCCTAATGTAAAATGCTGTTAGCTCCTAGAAAACCCAGGTATTCAAGTAAACTCTGTCTGTGTATTTGTATTTGAAGGCTCCACTGCGGTCCCTCTGGGTTTGGATTTATTTACATGGCTGGGATAGTTGCTCTGGCATGTGCCGCTGGGCCAGGAATTTTTTTCCCCTTTCTTTTTTCCTGCAACATATAACCGGCCGAATGAGGAGGCGGTTCGTCGCCTCTCAGCAGATGACCCCCGAAGGTCACAGCCTCCTGTTCCCATCCCTTTCCTGTCTGATAATCTGTGGATGTCATTTGAGAATTCAGCTCTCTCTTGTGCATGATGGAAACAGGAAGAGAAGATTCTGTTGATCTGATCAGTGCATCCTGATCAGATGAGAAAGCAAACTTGTAAACAGAGAAAGCGCAATCTTGTGCGTGTATACGTGTGCGTTTGAGAGTTCAGTGCCGCCATGTTTAAGAATTAAAATGCCATGTATATTTTGCTCTAATGGAAGTCTGCAGTTAAATTAAGCAGTTCCTTTTATTTATTTATTGTTAAATAATAGATGAAGTCAGATGTATTATTTATTGAATACATACTAGGGATGAACGTTTTATTGACATTAAAAAGCGAATTAGTACATGTGGTAGGGATCAAAAGCCAGAAATGTTAAAAGCTGTTGTCTTGCTGGCGACGCTGGATCAAAGAGTGCAAAAGCAAAGTTGTGTATGAAACGTAACACAAGACGGGGCATTTTCAGCATGATGCTGGTAGACTGGGATTGTATAGTTATGAGACTGGGGCTGAGTTTTTCACGCAGAGAGCCTACCAATAGCCATTTACTGTTGCTTACATCAGTTTGTCTCTATAATAGGCTGCGGTGTGTGATAAGCGATTCCACAGAGAGGCAGTCTGCTGTATCTCCCCCGACTGCTCCCCTCTTTATTCCTTAATTACTTCCTTTTTTTTCTTCTCCAGAGCGGATGATAGCCTCATAATGTTATGGCTTCCACACCTGCCTCTTATACACTCTGCCCTTTCATATGTCACAAACCCCTGTTATTCCTTTTTTTTCAACGTTGCTCCCAGAGCAGGTGGTGGCTGCACATGTTCCACCCGTGGATAGCCTTTAAAGAAGAGTATTTTTTTTTTTCCACTTATGGATCGCTGTTTGGCTAGAGCCACGTTTCCTCGCCACCGAGCAGAATTTTAAACTTCAGACTTTCTTCATTTAGCTATGATCCAGGTTTGCAGACACACACGCGTATGCTGGTGAGAGACTAACTAGAAGACAGAAGTGAAGCGAGGGAGAGGTGAGACGTGGTTCTCCTTGACTCTTTTTAATTGGATTTGGTCAGGCTGTCCTCTCCAAGAATACAGGCAGCTTCTCTCTTGTGTCCCCCTTGTGAGGCCCCCAAACTGATGGAGCGGCTCACTTGCATTTTAATTGCAACGCTGCTGGCACTACACAAGCGGCCTACATTTTATGCTGTGTTTGCAAGGATGTACCTCTTACATTACTGAACAATTTCATAGGTTCTCTTCATGAATTTAAGTGATTCTCTCTCTGATTGGCTGTAAACTACTCCAAGTTGGCACTTTTTGTGCCTTTTGTAATTTTGTTTTTACAATATATGGTATAAACAATATATTCATTATAATATATTATGTTAAGCAGCATATCTTAAATCTAAATCTGCCTTTTAGCCAGCCAAGATTAGCTTGGAGAGACAAGAGCCTTGAGTCCTAGATCAATTAAAACACTAAGGAAGGTTTGTCCTTCTCTTTACTGAGCAGTGCTGTGTTGAGTAGCATCAGTGTCTTTGGCAAGCATTTCATGCATTCACCTTTCCATCCTAGATTTAGCAAATCGTTCGATAAGTCTCTTTGCAGTTGTGATCTTCCCTTCTCTCTGTCATCAGTCCACCAAACAGTTTTGAGAGTTACATGGGGGGAATCGCATATGCCCAAGCCTTTTTTTCCTGTGTTAAATTTGCACTGCTAATAGGAAATGCGAAACTGACGCAATGGCTGCCCAATTGAATGCAATGTCACTGCTTGCTGTGGACTTATATTGTCTTGTAATCCTGTTTCAGTGTCTTCTTGTTCTCTTCTACTTTGCTTTGTAATGCGTAGTTGGAAGCTGAGGGGAAATATGCACTTCATAAAGCCTGGGTTCCAGTCTCAGCTCATTCTTGTGTATCTTGGTCCGTTTTTAAAGGCTAACCATAAAAGCTAATCCTTTACAGTTGTTTTATTGGATTTTTATTTTATTTTTTTTCTGTGTTTGACCAATCAATATATACTTACCAAAGTTTGGAAAGGGCACTCAGAGTTTCTCTTCTGCTGCAAAAAGACCCTAAATATTATGATTTTTTTTTTTTTTTAGTGCAGATCCAAAAATGAAAACGTTTCTGTGGTTCTCCAAAAGGACCTGGTGTAAAGTCCCACTAGCAGATTTTAACACAGCAGAAAGCACTTTTTGCTTTTTGTCTCAGGCCATTTTTCAAGCAGGATTTCCTTCCTTCTTGGACCTTCCCATCTTTACATTGTGCTGCATGTTTCCTGCTTAAACACACATACAATCCCCCCACCGATGCCTTCACTGGCCATGGAAAGCAGTGTTGTGCTACTGTACACGCGGCCACTTAGCAACCAGGAGGCTTAACCGCATAGGCGTCAGGGCTGCATAAACCTTTGTGCTGAATCCATAGAGTAGGCTTAGCTCAGAAGGCGGGGGGCAGAGGAGAAGGAAGGATGTGATTTGACCTGTGCCAGCTGCGTTGTCACATGGTGCCTGCATGCGACAAATACAAAAGGGCAGGTAGACACAGTGCTGTGAACTTGCCCGTAGCATTACCATCCTTTTGGATAACACCCCTGGAAAAAATGAACGCATGTTTCTAAACTAAACAAAATATTCATATGTTGCTCATTAGCCGGATTAAACGATTGCCATTAAAAAAAAGAAGTAATTGCCAGCCATGTGTTTTCATGTCTTCAATTATCTCACAAACGCTATGGCTCTTTGCTGCTACACTCTCCAATCCGATTTTGTCTTTTTCTTTTTTGATGGAGTGTTTGCTGACTATGTCTAGACAAGCTTCCATATTTCCTCTGTGGTTCAAACTCACACTTTCCATGTCATTCATGTCTCTGTCCGTCCTGCACTTAAGGGGTCTGACTCTGTACACAACCAGAGTTAGCCAGACGTGACGGGAATTTCCACTTTAGCGTCAATTATTTAATTAAGCAGTTGAATAAGATTTGCTGTAAGACAAGTGTCTCTCTGTTTCTAAACAAGTTCTGTCTGCAGACATCCTTTCTGTGGCTTTTTTTTTTTTTTTTTTTTTGAAGATATAAAATTGCTGGACTTTGTGTGACGGATGAATTAGCCCCAATATTAGACATGTTAATTTTACACTGTCCTTTTGTAGTCAAGGTTAGAGTCTTGGTATCTGTACTGTCTGTTGGCAAGAAAACTTTCACCACATTATGAACAATAATGATAAATAATGGAGTTCCTTCAGTGTGGTGCTTTCTGATCTGGTCATTAACAGTCCAAAAAGCAGCAATGATGAGCTGAACCCTGTCAGGAAGGAGATTTATTTGGGTGGGAATACACTCAGCAGTTGTGGTTGGGCAGAATGAGAGTTGGGGAGAAACTGGCAGGGTAGTTGTTTAGTTCTCCTTTGACAAAATGTCCAGTTCTGTCATGTGTGAGAGAGGCTGACGCTGCAGGTTTCATTTTTCCTGCCAGTGCTGCTGAAATGGGTGGCAGGGGGGCCTCCTGCAGATGGTTTGGAAGGTTTGAATGGTAATCAAATGAACAATCGGGCTGTGAGACAGTCATGCTTGGGAGCGCGCCACAGATTAGGAGGCTGACAATTCTGTTTAGTCATCTCGGAGATCAATACAGTGTGCTGTGTGTGTGCCTCTGCTGGGAATCGCCAGCAATCAGTGGGTGATGGTTTGCTTGACTGCACATAGAGATTGTAGCCCTGCTCTCTGGAAACGTACTCTCATCTACTGGAGGCAAGTCTCCCCACCTAATATCCAATTTCGCAATCTTCCTAACATGTTAAACTTGCTAACCACTTGGAGTACAACGATGGGTGAAATTAAACAGACCCACAACTTGTCAGGTATTAAGCTCTGCGGACATGACCGCAAGGATCATTTTATGCTCATGTGCTCATTTCGCTTCAGTGTCGATTGTGAAAGCAGCTCGCCGAGTCAGGCAGAGACATTGGACGCAGACATATTCATTAGATAAATTGCTTCATTCCAGCTGTTTATGAATGTACTTGGTGCCAGGGTCAGTGAAAGGACAGCAATAACATCAAAGTGGAGAATTTTTCTAACTTTTACAGACAATTGGGAGTTCTTAGAGATGCCTCAAAGCACATTGCTTATTGGTCTAATATTTCTTTCACAAGCCAGAACTTTGTTCCGGGCTTTTTCAGGAAAGCTCCCTAACCCTAATAACTGGTTATGCCACCCTTGGCAGTCAGGCATTTGCAATAATTGGTGAAGAGTCTTTCACATTGCTTTTGAGAAATTTTGCCCCACTGTTTTTTGCATGATTGTTATAATTCAGCTACATTGGATGTTTTTGAGCATGAATGTCCTATTTTAAGGTCATGCCAGCTCAATCAGATTTAAGTCCGAACTTTGAGTAAGACTCTTCAAAACCTTCGTTTTACTTGTTTGAGCCATGCAAAGGAGGACTTTTTGGTGTGTTTTGTATCACTGTCCTGCTGCATAACCAAACTCTGCTTGAGCTTCAGGGCATGAATTGATGGCCATACATTCTCCTTCAGGATTTTTTTGATAGAGCGCAGACTTCATGATTCCGTTTCAGTTATGGCGAGTTATTCAGGTTCTAACACAGCAAAGCCGCCCCTGACCATCACACTACCTCCACCATGTTGGACTGATGATATGATGTTCTTTTTATGTGAAGCTGTGTTTTATGCCAAATTATCAGAAAACCAATGTTCCAAAAAGTTCAACTCTTGTCTCGTTACTCCACAGAAAACTCTTCAAAAGGTCTTGGGAATCATCAAGATGTCTTTTTTGGCAAAAGTGAGATGAGCCTTTGAGTTCTTTTTCTTCTAGGGCCTCTCCCATGGACGCAATTTTTGCCCAGTCTCTTTCTTATTGTTGAATCATGAACTCTGACCTTATCTGAGACAAGTGAGGCCGGCATTTCTTCAGATCATGTTCTGGGTTCTTTTATGGCTTCCTGAATGAGGAGGCCATTAAAGATCACCAACTGTACTTTTGGAGTCATTTTGGTAGGCTGGCCACTGTTCAAAGTCTTTTGCATTTGTGGATAATGCCTCTCACCTTGGTCCACTGGAGTGCCAACGCCTTAGAAATTGCATCGTAACCCTTACCAGACTGATAGATGTCAACAATGTTGTTTCTCAGGTATTTCTTTGTGTTAGATTGTGGTGTTTTTTTACTTTTCTATAAGGCTAATTACTTTTTCCTATAGGGCCAGGTGGGTTTAGACAACTTTTTTTGCCCATAAAAACTGAAATAATCATTTAAAATCTGCATTTTTGTATTTATTCGGTCGGTCTTTGGCTCATATTAAAACTTGCTTGATGTGAAACATTTATATGTGACATGTTTCTCAGTTCTTATACACACAGCTTCCCAAAATAACACATATTATACAGATAAAAGGACTTTTGTTTACCAGAAGATCATGTAAAATGAATTCTCACTGTGTACTCCGCTGTAAATTAAAACCAGAGGCTTTTATTGAGTTGTAAAGATGAGCTTTAATAGCTGCTTCCAAGTTGGAATTATTAACATTCCCTGTTGTATTTATAGCGTGTGTTTCCTGTATACATTCCCAGTGGAGGAGAAAAAGTCAGCTTGTGAAAGAGGACTAATGAGATGGGAAGCACAGGATGCCTCTAGGAGGTGTCATCAGAACCTGTTGAAGCCAGGAAGGGACCTGGCTTATTGCGGGAATTGCTACAAAGAGCCTTTTCTCTCTTTTCGGATGTCTCCCAGTGTGATCTCTGCACCAGAGACTGTTTGTCTCTAGTCAGTATTTGAAGGAAATTCAGTTTTTGCTTGCCAGGAATTTGGGGTGTGTGGATACGTGTGTTTGTGTGCGTCATAGACATGTGTGTAGGTGATTTACTCTGAATTTAGCCCTTAATACTGTTTTAATTCAAAAGCAGTTCTTCTGCACGGGAAAAATGGCAAAGGCAACATATACTCATATCCTCCCTACAGAGATATGTTAAAGAGGTCAAAGAGGCTCTCTCCTTCTTTTTTTCAATGCCTC